AAGTCGCGCACACGAAAATGAGGCTCTATAGGGTGTATAAGAAACAAGGCCTTTAGGAATCAAGATGTTGTTGTTAAACAAGACTCCATCTAAAATCTAAAATAACTTCTAAAACCAAATGAAAGTTTTAAATAACTTCATCATGCATAAAATTCACTTCTATTCTGCTTTACGGACCCTAGCCTCCTCCGCAGGCATCTCGTGGTACTTACCTAGAACCCAATAAGAACATCAGTTATTTGAATAATCAGTTATTTGATGCCTGTGGAGGAGGCTATACGCTACTTATATAAGTTCTCGACGAGATGCCTGCGGAGGAGGATATACGCTACTTATATAAGTTCTCGACGAGATGCCTGTGGAGTAGGCTATACGCTACTTATATAAGTTCTCGACGATTAAGAGATGCCTGCGGAGTAGGCTATACGCTACTTATATAAGTTCTCGACGAGATGCCTGCGGAGTAGGCTATACGCACCAGTGAGTTCAGCATAGTGCTACGCATTCAAATTTCAACAGTGGCTTGATTTCTAAAGGTCTCGTTTTTTTATACACCCTGTATAGCCAAAGTGATGTATTCTCCTGAAAGGTGTGATATATATTCCTGGATTTAATTGCCTGAATCGTTTTGCCACCCAATTCACTCATATGTAGTGTAAGGGGCCCATTGCATCAACCAGATTAGCCCGAGTTTTACCGGCCTAGCCCTGGCTAAATAAGATAATTTCTCAATACTCCCTTCAGGAAAGTATTTAGCCATGAGTCCATGACAATACAGCCTCGGTTCCGTGTTTGAGACATTGCCGCCCTTTTTCTTGTTGTTGAAAACAAAATTATAAACACTCAGGTCTTTGCTGATATATATATATATATATATATATATGCATGTAGCTATATACATGTAGCTTGCGAACATCGTCCCGGTGCATAAAAAGGGAGATAAACGTTTTGTTGAGAACTATAGACCCATCTCACTCCTCAGTGTTATATCTAAAGTCTTTGAACGGTGTGTGCTTAGAAATGCAAAAGATCACTTACTAGATTTGATCAACTGTTCTCAAAACGGATTCATTCCAGGAAAATCATGTACAACCCAGCTATTAGCGGTACACGATTACATTGGGTCCTTGCTGGATGCTGGTAAGCAAACAGATGTTATCTATATGGACATGTCAAAAGCCTTCGACAAAGTTAACCATGAAACCCTACTCAATAAGCTGAACAACTGCTTCAACATTTTTGGTAACTTGCTTTGTTGGTTCAAGACCTACTTGTTAGACCGTAGGCAACGCGTTACTGTGCTAGGCGCCACCTCCTCTGAAAAACCCGTACTCTCAGGAGTACCACAGGGTTCAATATTAGGCCCTATACTTTTCCTCCTCTACGTGAACGACCTTCCAGATGCCGTTAAGAACTCCAAGGTTTCATCTTTCGCAGATGACACTAAGGTATTTAAGTGTATTGACTCCATCTCGGATGCAAGCTTGCTTCAGAGCGACCTGAATAGTCTGGGCAATTGGTCAACTAATTCTGGACTTGTATTTAATCAAGACAAGTGCAAGCTTCAGCAAATTACCAGGAAAAAGAACCCGATCGACTTCTCCTACGAGATAAATAACAAATTACTGGAAATTTCATCGGAAGAGAAAGACCTTGGTATTTGGGTTACTGCTGCGCTTTCCTGGTCAAAACACACCTTTGACCGTTGTGCTAAGGCCAACAAGTTGCTTGGCTTCCTGCGCAGATCTGCTGTGGAAGTAAAAAATCCAAACACCCGCCGCACGCTCTATTTGGCAATTGTGCGTCCTGCATTAGGCTACGCCACACAAGTCTGGTCACCGCAGTCAATTGAACTAGTCAGAAAGTCAGAGCGCGTTCAACGTCGAGCTTCGAAATTTATCCTTAAGCTGCCCTTCACGTGTACAGAATCCTACAAAGACAGACTAATGTCTATAAATCTGTTACCAGTCTCTTATTGGCATGAGTATCTTGACTTGATGTTCTTTTTTAAGGTCATAAATGGTATTATAACTGTTCCGAAGGAAATCTTGCCAAAACGATCTACTCCCTCAAGGCCTACTCGATCATCTTCCAATAACTGTGTTATCTCGTACCGTCCTCGTAGATGTAAGACAGCCACCTATCAACGGTCATTTTTTATTAGAGCAACTAGAACCTGGAACTCCTTACCCGAACACTTAAGACTAGATCATTTATCTCTAACGTTATTTAAAAAGTTACTATTAGAATACTACCATAATGCCCTTGTATCTTGTTACGACGTGGATGATGCTCGAACCTGGAAAACTGTTTGCCTGAAGTGCAACACATCGCGTAATCTAATCGATGCCGATCCCTGTTGCTACTAGACTAATTAGTTGATTTTTTTTCGTCTGTATTTTGTCACTAATTCCAACTAAAGGGCCCACAGTAATTGGTGTGAACTGTTGTGGTGACCCTGCCTCTTTTTATGTCTCGTGTATATGAATTGTTGTGCTTGTATTGTGTACGTTTTTTGTCAAGGCGAAGCTAAATAAATAAATAAATAAATAAATAAATCCGCATTAAAATCACTTCAAATTATTGTACAACTGAACAAGTCACACGACAAGGGAAACAATATTATTTGCTTGATTGTATTTAAAAATAAATAATCCATATTTTCACGACATTTTAGAGAAATACCAGAATTAGTGCAGAAAATTTCCAATTCGTTAATATATTTCGCATAAATGATATATTATTTAATTACTATTTTCCATATTTCACGCTGACAATACGTCAGACTCCGTGTTTTCCATATTTTTCTCTGACGTCAGACTCCGTGTTTTCCATATTTTATGGTGGACTCCGTGTTTTCCATATAACTCCGTGTTTTCCATATTTTTATGACGTCAGACTCCGTGTTTTCCATATGACTCCGTGTTTTCCACATTTTTCTCTGACGTCAGACTCCGTGTTTTCCATATGACTCCGTGTTTTCCATATTTTTATGACGTCAGACTCCGGGACTCCGACTCCGGGACTCCGACTCCGGGACTCCGGGACTCCGGAACTCCGACTCCGTGTTTTCCATCTAACCCGATGGAAGGTATTATTGTTAAAGCGGTAAATGGTGACAAAATTTGGGCCTTGTTTGTGGAAAATCAAGAAATTTATCTGGCAGACATCAAAAAACAAATGATGGAAGAAATAGATGAATTCTTACCTCAGAAATTTTATTTTATGAGTGTCTGGGATGTTCCAATCAGCAGTGTTCAAGAGAAAAAAATTACACTTCACCATGCTCTACATCCAGACGGTTGTCTTATCATTAAACCCGTTCAAGTCGAAGATACACGAAAAAGGACATTAAATGAGGACGAAGGTGAATCTGCAACGAGCTCGGATTTTTGCGAAAGCAATGCAAAGTATGTCAGTGTAGATACAAGTCATACGACGCCAGCTAAGAAATTTGCGAAAGTACAGTCTACCTTGACAAGTTACTTTGGGGCGTCAAGTAAACCGGAGATAAGACACCCTACGGCATTAGTGCGACAGGGTGTATACATTTATAAAGAGCATGAGATAGAAAAAGCCAAAGGGACTGAAAAGAAAAGGAGAATTTTTTGGAACGAGAAATCCGATGAGATATGTAAAAATGAAAAATATAACAGTTTAAAAGCAGATGATATCGACAAACTGCTTCACGAGAAGTGGAGGCTCCATAAGGCTAGTCTCTTAGAAGAAGAGAACCAAGTTGTCACTAATAGAATTGAAAAAATACTGTTGGATAATCCAGAAATAGGTTCCAAAATACCCAGTTCAAGAGCTGTTAAAAGTCACACAATAATAAAAAATCTTGAGCGCCTAGATTCTGCAAAGAAAGCAGTGGAGAAGAGTCGACTAAGCTTAGATGAACTGTATACAAATAAATGTCAGCAACAGGAGAAAATTAGGAAAAAACAAGAAAGGCATCATGACAACTATAGAGAACTTCAAAAAGCTGAAGATGCATTAAGGCAATGCTTAGTTAAAGAAACGCTTTTTGTCAGATATTATCGAGAAACTTCATTTTGAAGAAAATGTGTAAACTGGAAAAGCCATACTGAAACACAGTTGTGTTTAAATATAGTTCAGTATACATATTCACAAAACTAAACTGTTGAGGAAATTGTTATATCTTTTGTTCTAAGAAATGTTCAAATTTTGCAAATAGTATGTCACTGTCAATCATGTCACTATACTATGCTGGATACCAAACCAATCAATAAAACAATTATGATTGTGTGGGTTCAAAACGATATTAAAATATGAATTTGGTATTTTTCCAATAGACGAAGATAGCGAATACAAAAACACTTCTCAACATTTTGAGTGAAGGCCCTTTGTCAGGAGAGTTATAAACATACCTGACAAAGGGCCTTTGCTTGAAACAGTGGCGGCGGAACAGGGGGGCTAAAGCCCCCCCCCCCCCAGAAGTAAAAGTGGGAGGGGGCAAAATTTTGTTTTTTCTGGAAAAATTTTGATAATTAAGGAAAAATTTAGGGTATTTTTGGAAAATTTAGGTATAAGGGGAAAAAATTGCAGTATTTTGTTTAAAAAATGTGTATGTCTGGAAAATTTTTTTGTTATAGGTCCGGGAAAATTTTTTTCAGCGCCTTTTTTGTATGTGTCCGGAAAAATTTTTTGGTGTATGTCCGAAAAATAAAATATGTTCCGTTTTGGTGTATGTCCCCCAAAATAAAATATGTTCCGCCGCCTCTGGCTTGAAACATTGAGAACTATTTTTGTATCTCGTAGGCTGGCAAGTTACAACCTTCAACGTTTTGTATTTACTCTGCAACAGATGCTAAAAACCCAAGTTTGAAGATTTTTAGCACTGGCTTGCAAAGTATAATTTCATCCCTTCTGTTCTGTTTATAAATGTAAATTTTTAGCCTGTTACACAGGCAATGCATGCAAGCTGCCTTATTATTATGATTTAAAATTTCTTTTTTAGAAGTGCCCAGGGAGCAATGTGTGCGCTCTCTCTCTGTGCATGCAAAGCATTGTGCCCCTTTTTCTTCATTTGTGTCTGAACCAGGCCTCGAAATAAGTGCCGGTCACCGGTCACTGACCGGTAAAATTTCACAGTTTGACCGGCAAATATTGTCGCCTGGCGGACATGCGTGACCGCTAAAATTTCTTAATAAAAACTACGTTAAAAAATGGAGCAGATTGTTGATTTCCAAGTTTCCAAAGAAGTGTTGATGTCCGTCCGTCTACTGCATTTTGTTGTACGATTATCACATTTCTGCAAGTACCTCTCCTTTATTTTTCCCTAAGCCGGCGAGTTGTGAGAGTCAGTGAGACTGATAATTGCTATAATTATCTCCCATTTCATGAGGTTAATTTTTTGTTGAAGCTGCTCCCAGAATGCTGCAAATGGCGTTTCTGAGGTTTAAAACTATAACAATTCCTGGGGGACAGCCCCCCCCCCCCCTAGGTGCCTCGCGCATCCGAAAACTTTGAATAACGTACGAAAAATCCTGGATCCGCCCCTGGTTTAAATCTTTCATATTAGTGCAAATAACTTTAACAAATACACGTTAAATCGTACACAAAACTGAATGCTGTCCTTTTATAAATTTAATTATTTCACAAGTAGGATGTAATGCAATTTCAACTTTTACGTGCGTGTACACACGTATGAAAAACGCGTAGCTGGAATGCAGCAGCCTTACAGCATGCTCGCAACTCAAATTACACTTAAGAAGATCACGTCTTCGTGGCGCTTTGCATTGTGGTTATAGTGGTATCACTGTTATTCAAGATGGCTTATTTTTTGTTCTGACCCATGCAAGAACTTTTAAAAAAAGAAAAAAAACTACAAGACTTACAAATCTAGTTTGTTTACTAGACAATAGAATAATACTGAATCAATTCTCTGATTCTCTGTCTGCAAAACCTTATAATTAGAATAGTAAAGAAATTCAGATACCTAGCCCCCCCCCCTCTCCTGAAAAAAAATACATTCCCTCAATACCCCCTGGATATAGCTCTGGTATCCCCCCAGGATAAAGCTGTGATATTTAACTGCTTTCCCCAAACCCCCTTGGATTTTTCTTGGCTCTGCATAGTTAGCCCCCTAGGGTATTGCATTGTTTCAACCCCCCCTCCCCCCTGGATATCCATGACCCTCAATAGGGGGGGGGGGGGGGCGCTTTTTAAATGGAATGGCCCATTTTGCGAAGACAGTAGGAGATTTTAGCTGTTGTTTTGGGTTTTTTTCTGCGGTTTAAGGTAAGGTAA